CGACCATGAAGAAAGTGAAGAAGTGCCGAAAGTGAAGAAGTGCCGAAAAAGTGCGGAAAGTGAAGAAAAGCAATAGATACGTATCGATTTGAAGAAAGTGAAGAAATGCCGAAAGTGCGGAATCTGAAGAAATGCCGAATGTGAAGAAAAGCAATAGATATGTATCGATTTGAAGAAATTGCGGAAAGTGCGGAATCTGCAGAAAGTGCGGAAAGTGCGAAAGTGCGGAATCTGCAGAAAGTGAAGAAAAGCAATAGATACGTATCGATTCTTTCTTTCTGCAGATTCCGCACTTTCCGCATTTTCTTCAGGGTCGCAAGCTATTAACGCGGCCTTAGGAGAGTCATTGATAACATATCGCACTGTCAAATATGAGATGTGCATTACACGTTGAGGGCGAACCTGAAAGTCCGTGTAATTATTCCTACTTCCTTCCGATAGCGGCAACGCTTATGCTTTAAGGGCGTCAAAGCGAGAGATGATATCTGCTAGATAATCTCACTTTTTTGTAGGTTGCTTGTTTTTACTGTTTAATTGTTTGCTTCAAGGAACCTACGACGGCCACAATGGTGTAGTATGGGACGTAGATGTGTCATGGGATACCACTCGACTGGGAACAGCATCCGGAGATAATTCGATCAAGGTATTGTGTTTTCATTTCTTCTAATTCTACTTTGTCATTATCTTATAATCCGTCCTCCCAATCAATTCAGTTCTGGGACTGTGAGACTGGAACGGTACTGAATACCATCAACACTCCGACTCCCGCGAAATCTGTCAACATTTCCTTTTCGGGTGGGTTGAAGAGCTTAATTTGTTTATTCCAACATTAGGAAAGTACAGGGAAAATGTTGATAAGTCTATAGATAAAGGCAAGGTTGGCTATGCGCCTCAGACAATAATGACAAGGTAGCAATTCAGTAGTGAAGAAAAAACAGCAGGAAAAAATCATGGGAGATGCCCATTATAGAATCCCATGCCGAAATTGAGCTGCCATATTCAAAGAAAGCGTAGGAATGTCAAATGGAGGCAGGCTCTGCTTTTAATTGAATAGAAGCAGTTTGGTTTGATGCCAAAGTAGCATCAGGGATGCTTCGCTAAGGAGGCGAAGCGTTGCCTATCCGTTAATTCCATTCTTCCAGGCCATTTACTCGCCTACACCACACAGAAGATGACAAAAAATCCTTCGGTATTGTGCGTAGTCGACACAAGAGACGACCAACAAATTACATCTGACTGTCCACTGTTTCGTACTCATTTTGAATTCGATAACTCAGCTACGACATGTGTTTTTAGTGGAGCTACCGATTGCGTAAGTTTCAAGTTTGTATTGTTTTTGTCAGACTCTTTCAAAAATGGTGAAGGTGGTGTTGTGGCAAGCGCGTGGTCCGGGAGTCATTGGCTTCCCTTTAGGTCATTTAAGGCTACTACCCCGAAATGGGTAAATTGGTACCAGATTCGTCTGTGTTGTTATATAGACCTTGTCGCATTCACTACGATTCTGAGTGGATATAAAATGCATGCCGCATCTCAAAAAGAGGTTGATCAACCGAATTAGACGGGGCTTGACGAAAGCCTTTTTAAATCTTCCTCATAGATCTCTCGGAGCTTCGTTTTCGAATTGGCTCACAATATTTCGACTCGCTCAATCGGGTTTAGTGTGTGTGGGGGTTAGG